TAGCCTCCTAGAAAGCCTACTAGATTTTGTAATTGTTTGATGTTTAAGAGAAGAGAGATCTAGGTTATCTACTGATTTTTTTTAAAGGACTTAAGGCTGTTGGACTTAAGGCTGAAATTTGGCAAAACCCTGAAACCCTAACACTTTCAACAATTATCTCTTCCGGCATATGCATTTAAAAAACATTTCATTGACTAAAGTTACTGTAAGTAGCAGTACAATATCTCAAAAAGTATTTAACCTTTAGATCTTTCAGATCTTTCAGCTTGATTATAAGTAAAAAGTATTCATTATTAGCACATATATACATCTTTTGGAATGCTGTAGTGAAGTGGGATGATTGAACTTTACAATATCTTGTAGAGAGCGAATTTACCTCTAGACAATGGCACGTAAATATGATATAAGAATGAAACAAGTCTTTGGAAGATTTTATAAAGAAAGCAGCTAGCTTTAGACTTTAACAATAGCCCATTCCTATAGCCTACAAGTTATAAAGTAATAGCCAAACTCGGGATTTTGTCTACAACATTAAAGCCAATTCATCCGTTTTTCAGGTAACAGTTGGCTGTCATTCTGTTCTTCCGCGATCCGCCCGCGCCACTCCATTGAGTCAACACTACAAAACACCGATCGGGGCTATTTAATTTCTAAAAACAAACCTAGAACTACAAGATCTTAAGTCTTATCCTTTTGAAGTGTTCACATTTAGTTTTCATCCGTAGCTTTAGTTCCCCTTTATCTATCGAGTGTCTAGTATTTCGAATTTTTAGAGTTTTCTATTTGAAACATTCCAATATTTATTCGGAACTGCCCATTTTCTGTGATTTCTTTGATTTCTTTGATTTCCCTATGTCTTTCTTTTCAAAGTCTCTTTCACTTGCCATTTTTTTTACCTAAACGGGTCATTTTCGACGGGTTAACCCTTTCAAAACTTTTGTGATTTTATTTATTTGCTCAGAGTATGCATGAAATAAATACTTTATGATGGATATTAAAAAATTTGAAATTGAAAACACAATTTAGACATTGATGAGAAGATTTCGTTTCGTTCATCGCTCAGAATCTTGCTGTATTCAGTATGCGATGAAGAGACAGTATATAGGACATCAGAATGTCCTATATACTGTATAATATCTGATAGATTATCATCTAGAACTTTCTATATCTTTAACCAATCACTTTCAAACGTAAAAACATATTGTGGACTTCCGAAAAAGCTTATTGTAAACTCTTCAAAGCAAACAGTTTTCTTAAAACGCGCCCCAAATGAATTACGGTATGATGAATTGGCGACTTGCCAAAAAAAACTAAAGTATTAAGGGAGCAAAACGAATCTTGCGGCAAATTTCAATTCTTTGACTTGTTTTTAGTTTTCCCTTTGTCGTAAAAGGATTTTTAACGTTTAGAATCAAAATATTGCCTCTAATTTATCAAAATTTTCCGTTTGTTGATGCTTTTTTACTCAAAAGCTCGAAAAATGATCTTTTCTATGTTTTACCCGAGTTTCTAATGCTTTTCCAAGTTTTAGCCTTGATTTCTACATATAATCGTGTAAATTTAGATGTTCCGCAATCAGTACGATTCAGATGTGACGGTTTGGTCACCGCAGGGACGGCTCCATCAGGTAAATTTGATGTTTTTGTTGGTTTAAAGTTGTATGGTACTAGCAGTGAGTAAAAGCTATTGTAATTTAAAGATTAAAATACCTTGATTGATATTTGTATTTAGGTTGACTATGCCGTGGAGGCGATGAACCAGGGAAGTGCCACCGTCGGGATCAAAAGCAAGACACACGCTGTTATCGTTGCACTTAAGGTTAACATTTCTTTTGTTATGTAATGAGCTTCGATGAGCTATGACTGTTGTTCGCGGAGGTCTTGACAAGTTGTAGCGAGAATTTAAGAATCTAAATTATCCAAAAGCAATTACTTTAATTTAATGCTTGGATATTTTATTCAATAGCTTTAGCCAACAGTATTTTTTCAACTTTTTTTTTCATTTAGAGAGCAACTTCTGATCTTTGCTCCCATCAAAAGAAAATCTTCGAGCTTGACGAGCATTTGGGAGCATCAATTGCAGGTTTTCTTGACCGTTTTGGACATTGAATTATTTGATTTCTTAGGTCTTCTCTCCGATGGCCGCATTCTTGCGCGTTTTCTTCAAACTGAGGCTTCGAGCTGGCGCTGGGATTATAAGGTAAAAGTAAAACAGAATTTCGGCTTTAGTTCTATTGTTTAGACCCCAGTTCCACTGAGCTTGCTTTGCAATCGGGTCCAGTTGAAGCTGCAGGCGAACACGCAATACTACGGACGACGACCTTTTGGTGTGGGACTTCTGATTGCGGGTTTCGACAAAGAAGGTCCGCACATCATCAAGACTGAGCCATCAGCTGAAGTGGTTGAGGCGTATGCTGCATCAATTGGATCTCGCAGTCAGAGTGCTCGCACCTATTTGGAGAGGAAATTCGACGAGTTTGAGGTAAATGCGTAAATAAATTGAAACTTTAAAACCTTGGATATATTTTGCTAAATTTATTTTCTAATTTCAGAAAGCTTCGCTGGATGAGCTGATCACGCATGCATTGATCGCGATTCGAGACACCCTGCCAGCTGATGAGAATTTGACCACGAAGAACACATCGATTGCTTTTGTCGGAAAAGGACAAAAGTTTAAGGTAAGCAGATTTAGCAATCATCTGAACTTTTTAAGTACTAAAATAAAATAAATAAATTCGCAGTTTCACCTTTTAATTTTAGTGTCTCGAGGACGAGGATATCAAGGAGCATTTGGACAAAATTGTTGGCGTGGCTCGTGCCGTGCAGCCGGGACAAGCTCACGGACAACAGCCCGATCAAGCCGGTGGTCAAGGTGGACAGCCTGGACAAGGGGGACCCGGTGGACCACAAGGTGGTGGTCAACCCGGTGCAATGGAACATTGACCTGTTTAAAAGTATTTATTTGTGTTATGTGCTTGACTTTGTTCGAATGTGATTTTTGGCTCCTAATTTAAATAAATCTTTTCATATTGTGATATTGTTGGAGGGGAAAGAGGGTTTTTGAGCCCATGATTTATCAAATCTTATTCAAAATATCCACCGGTTGGGAAAAATTTAGTTTTTAGCGCTTATTTCAGTTAGAGTTCTGTTAATCAACTATCTGCCAAGGAGAGAAATGATTTTGAGGCAAAATGTTCTTGTTTTCAGGTTCCAAAGTGTCGTGTCGTAGTGCCGTAGCACAGACGAGACGGCAGAGTAAACATGTGGTTTGAACAGGTTGGCGCACCTTTATTTTTTCACGTTTATATTGGAACACTTATTCCTTATATTAAAAATGTTTTAGATCTACTCCGGCTTTGTCACGTTGGCCTTTGTGGGCGCCGCCTGCTACATTTCCTATCCTTTCAACAAATTGGACGTCAAAAGGGCCTACCGAAGAAATTATGGAACGAATGAAAGGTATTGCTTTTGTCGTAGTAAAGTAGGAATAACCAGAAAAAACAAAACCAGTTTGCTAGCTTCTGAGATTTGAAGTTTAGCCAAAATACTGTTATTTTTGTATTGTATGGGCAAATGATTCACAAAGAAAGGCAACGAACAATTTATAGAATTTTACTCATTAGATTTGGATTCATCGGGTGCGCTTTCGTCTGCATCACTGATTTAGGTTGCGGATCCTGAACAAAGCTTTGTTAAAAGGCGTACTAGAAATAAACTTAAAATCGCCGTTTGGGGAGCGTTTTGAGGCGTTGCTTCATTCATGTGGACTGGTGGAGGCTCTGGTTGCTTATCTTGTTTTCTACCTAAATAAAAAGTATGCCAGCTGCTTTCTTGATAGCATTGGCCTTTGGCTAAAGAAAAGTTAAATGAGTTAAGTCAGTAAAATACCTTTTTTCTTCAAAATTTTACGACAGTTTGGGACAACAGCCAAAGAAGCGGCCGAAGCAGTGGAAGCCTCAGAAGCCGTACTCATCTAGACTCCTGTTCCCTAAATGAATACATTTAGCTGGACACTTCAGAGATTAAGCATATGGAAAGTTGTTTGATTAAAAGCAGAATTATATGTCTGTTTGTCCTCCCCCGCTACCATCTTTCTTCTTCTTTCGCTTCGCCGTCTCATCGCTCGACTTCTTTTTCAACGACTAAAGAAAACAGTCTTGAAGCAGGAGCAAAAAACCTTACTTGCATAGCCGATGCCTTTTGCCATCTTCGTTTTCTTTGACTAAACGGATGATTGTATAAATAATATAAAGTTAGACAAACAACCGGTGCCAGCCCTATAGCGCTCTTCGTTGCTTTCAGTCTCCGATTCGTCCTAAAAGAGAGAAGATTCATTCGCTAAACGGAAACCTTGTCTGAGTCGCGGCAACAACAACAACAACAACAACAGAGTATCTTCGTACATAAATTTCGAAACATTAGCTAAAAATAAATTCCTGAAAAGTATAAACAAAATTTCTAAAGACTTATTTGATAAATGTGAGTTGTCGCGCAGTAAGAAATGAGGACACGATCCTATATCGCGCAGAAATAAAAAATAATCTAGGAAGTTTTGACCGCATTTTATGGCAAGGTTAAATGCAAATTAATTTGTTGTTTTAGGGTGATGCTCTCGAAGCGTGATCATCGATTAACAGGCAACCAATACGTCATCTCCGGACTCGATTCAATCAAGGATGCATAGGTTTATTAATTTTTCTAGTTTTCCGTATTTTATGGTACATCTTTTTGTCGATTATAGTAGTGTCAATAATACATTTTTGTGCATATTCGTATAGGCGATAAAGTTTAGTGGCACTTTTTAGAAACGACATCAAATTAAATCTGTTTCTTTTTAGGAGAAGTAAATATCTGAATACCAACTTGAAGATTTATTCTGATTTTCCCAGGTGGAACTTTCTGTGATTGAAAAAAGACCCGTAAGAAACAAAAAAATGATAGATCACAATTAAAAATGCATGTGAAAACCCGTAATGAAAATATTTCAAGTAGAGTGCTTCAAAGATATTCAGGGAGTAAACTATGAACTCCGCAAATCTTTTGAATTCGCTCGCGATCCTTTTGAACGACGTGAATGCTCAAAATCCAAAAGAAGAACATTCCGGTAAATACAAGAACACCTAAATTAAGGGTTTTTCCAACTTTTCAAACCAATTTCTTACCATAGAAATCCTGTAAATCGCTCCCTTTAAACATGTGATCGAGGAGGGAAATCGTGAAAAGAAAAACGACACCCAAACTGAAATTTACTCAATTTTTCTTCATGAACTACTATCAATTGGGTTTTTGCCTTTTCCCACCTGATAGTCAAATGGATGGCAGCACAGATAATGAAAGGTAGGAAGAAATTTGGTCGATGTTGTCGGATGGCCATTTGAAGGGAAATCGCGATCGCCGTGTTCAAGAGAAATGAACAAATCACTCCACCTGAAATGACAACTTGGTTATTAAGTTTGTTATGATTAAGTCAAGAATTGATTAGATAGGAGTGGTTCATTGAGGTTTTAGAGTCTGGTTCTTATACTTTCAAAGTGTCCCCCTTGCCCACTCAGCCGAATATCTTCTAGTTTTGTGGGGGGAATTTCAAACAAAAGGGGCAGCTACGAAAAATCTACGCAGAAAAATAGACTGGGCTTCGTAGCTTTCATAGCAGTCCCATTTGCTTGAATTTTCGCACAAAATTAGAAGCTATTCAACTAGAGCTTAGGGGGACACTTCAAAAGTATACTGGTTCTCTAGTATAATTGCTATTTGAATACGGTATCATTCAAGCTTACGGGAGCAACGCGTTCAATCGAACTCACCCAGATAAAGAACATTATGATTTGTATCGTGCTTCTGGAAGTCCCAAATCGCTAACGCCAACACCGATGCGACAATGTTGAGAGAAAAGAAAATGCCGGCAATTGTTGAGGAATTGAGTCTCCATGAAGTGGAAGACATCTGCAAGGTATCGGTGGTTTAAAAAAAAAGAATAAAATATTCAAAAATACTTGTAGAAATTGTAGAATACAAAAATAGAACTTGAACTAGCAAAATCTTATTATCAAAACCATTTGGATGATCAATTTCGAGACAAATCAATTCCATCAACGAAATATCCATCATTTCTCCCAATTGATCACTGATAAGGTTAGCACAAAGAAAAAGGATACATCATTTAGTCATCCACTATAAAATGCACGGCCACCGACCATTCTTGCTATTTTTTGATTCTTTCCAAGAGACTTTCCCATCGCTTTGTGTCAGAATGAAGTTATTTGTTGCAACTATTGCATGAGTTCCTTTGGTTAAAAAATTTTCAGCTCTACAGCTAAAAAAGATAGCTGTCATCCAAGCCAAGACTGACAAAAATGACTTTGACTTGAATGTGTTAAAGGAACACTTTTTGCAAAAGGAATTCTATCATTTTAGGTGTAAAAAGACACTTCCGATCAACCTTTTTCGGGACTAAGTTAGAATTAGAATTGGAATTAGTTAGAATTAGAATTAGAATTAGTTAGAATTAGATATTAGTTAGAATTAGAATTAGAATTAGTTAGAATTAGATATTAGAATTAGAATTAGTTAGAATTAGAATTAGAATTAGAATTAGAATTAGTTAGAATTAGATATTAGAATTTCTCAAAAACCCTACTAAACTTCGGATTTATTTTTAAGACAACTTGACCCAATAAATAAAAGAATTCCAGAAATTGATTCCAGAAAAGCTAACCCGAAACGCTCAACTTTGAAACACAAAAGTTAGCATCCAAAAATCGATCAATGTTTGTAAGTGTGGCTAGATTTGGCTATAATTTAGGGAAAAACTTTTTTCCAGGGACAATAGCCGCGGAAATGGATGGAAAAGAGCGGAAAACACAAAAGATTTTTGAGGGGAAATCGGGGAACTTTTCCCCCTTTCGAAGTTCAAGGGGAAAAGTCGTGCCTCAACAAATTAGAGAAAAGAAAAGAGAACATCGAAAAATGGCAGGAAGAAAAAAAAAGGAAAAGAATTCACATATCTGATCGGCGTTTTGACCCGAAAGTAGGAGTTTTCTCAGTGCTTGAAGTGCTTTGCAATCAAATCTTCTCAAGCTACCGTAAACAAGAAAGCAATATAAGTAATTGCTAATATTTTATTGAAAATCTCTTTTTTGGCTGAGTAAATGGAAAGATCGATTCTAGTGTAACCTTGAAAAAGCTCCCGAAAAATAATCACTTTCAAAATCTTCAACATAAACTACAAGTTTAGTGGATCAATAAAGAAATTGAAGAGATTATTTTTAATAATATTCTCCTAAACGATCACAGAATAAGCAATTGAGCTCAAAAAAAAGGAGAAAAGAATTTCAAATTAGCGCTTTTGTGAGCTTGAAACCCATTTTTTAAACATTCTATTGTACAGAACATTTTTTTGAATTTAAGACTAAATTCTGCCTTTATCGGGTACTTTTTCAACAACGGAACAACAAGGAATTCAAGGAACTCAATAAAATACGAAATAAAGATTGGGAACCGAAACGGAACAAAATAGGAGCCAAATAGGAACCGAATCAGAACCAAATGGGAAATGTGCCAGAAAAAGGGTTTTTACCAGCGCAAAGTATATCGTCTTTAAATGCATTTCGCGAAACGCCCTTTCTACTGCACAACTCCATAAAAATCATCAATTTTCAAACAAGCAATTGTAAGCTCTGTTAAGCGGTTTCAAAAAAAAACCCCTTTTCGCCTCAAGAATCCCGATCTTCTTTTTGGTGGTGTAGCTACACAAAAAGCAGAAGAAATATGGCCATGTCATTATTTTTTGTTGGCTTTTTTTTCACTTCTGAGTCTTGAATCTTTCTCAAAGAAGACAAATCCCTTCCCCGAAGAAATGTTATTGAGAAAGAAGACTTTGACATAACAAATTCCCCTTTTAACATTATGATCATCTAGATTTACGGAAAATGTACAGAATTGAACTAATAGAATGGAAAAACTATGGCAGATTTAACGTGTTCGCGACGATGGCATTTTGAGCGTAAAGTCGCGTAGTGGCTACTGTTTAGCTGATAATTTGGTGAATATTCAAAGATAAACTAAACTATTGGGTTGGTGAATTGAAAACTGCGGGCTATTGTCATATGTGACAGTTTGAGCACTTTCTTCAAAAGAAGCCCATTTTGGTGTCAATGGAAAAGTTGTAGAGAATCAAAAATCAAGCTTATATCCAAATTTTCAGAACGATTCAAAAACTGCTTTTCAAGAAATGCCAAATTTACGAATTTTCACAAAACTTGCAACAAAACTTTCATTTTAAGCGAAACTACTAAGTGTATCTTTTTGGAAATTTGGCTATAAGCTTAATTTTTGATTCTCTACAACTTCTCTATTGACACCAAAATGGGTTTCTTTTGAAGAAAGTGCTCAAATGCTCAAACTGGAACATCTCCAGTCCTCCATTTTTGAGTCTCACACTTGTCTCACACACAAAACAAAATCCTACTACGAAAGAGGAATCCGCAAATTGCCTGTAAAATGGGCAGGAGTCGGCAATAATAATGGAAATTATTTGGAATGAATTGATGGTTTTATGTCGAATAAATTTTAGTTCAAAGTCCGGCAGTTTTCAATTCACCAACCCAATATTCTAGTCATTTGATAGCCCTGAATCTCCTCTTGGAAACTAGTATAAAGTTAGTGATTTCGATTTTGCGAAATAAATAGCAAAAATCTTTAAAAACTTGACACCAAAAATAGTCGTGATTAGTACAGAGATCGGTGGATTCTCGTGAATGTATTAGTGGAGATTCAGGGCTTAGGCTTAGTAATTAAAGCGAAACTATTATCGAGTCACTATAATAGTTTCGTTTATCTTTGGTAAGTAATTAAAAGGCCAATTAGTAATAAAAAATGAAAGCTTTTATTACTTTAAACATTGTAATTTTAAGTGGGAAAAAGTGAGAGAATTTCTCGTTTTGTTGTTTTCTTTGGTGAATCAACCAAGTAAATAGAGATGTTTCAAGGGATTTTTGAGAAAAACTTTCAAAAAAATGAGGAGAACATCAAAAATAGAAGAAACAATTAACTGTGTTCAATTTTTAAGTTCTTAACAAAAACATTGTCTCAAATTTCATATACTCAATGAAATTAAAGGTTTTTTTTATCACTTTTTTAAAATCTATTTTTCATTTGTCCCTTTTCCTTCCGTCTGTACAAATTTGATTTTTATTTTCGATCATATTTCTGTTCCGTTATCAAAACGGGGAAAACATGTTAATGATTTTCTAATCAAAAAATTTGTTGTTTCAAAAATTTAACCCGTTTAAAAAAGGTTTTTACAGTTAATGGTCGAGTTTTGGTCTTTTAATTGTTCTTTTCTTTTAAAGAAGATAATAAAGGTTTGAAAATTTACATTTTAGCAAATAAAGAAGTAAAAGTTTTTTTCAATTTTCGAGTTTGACATCGTTATATTGAACAAATCCTTCTTAATTCGCCGCTTTTCAAAATTCTTCTATAAAGCTCAAAAAGTTAAAAATAAAGCATTGATTGGTTTAAGCTTAGAAAATTCAGAGCATTTTTAATTCTACGCTGCCCATTTCGCATACAAGGTTGTTTATTTGAATGGGTAAACAAAGGGACTAATCTAGAAAGTTTTATTTCAATTCTATTCTAGCTTTATTTTATTTTTAATCTAGAGGGTTTTATTTTATTTTTTATTACTATCAAAATCTCCATTTTATTTCAATATGATAAGATTTAGTGGAAATGAAATGATTAGCTTGTGCGATATGCAAATATAAAATGGACAAGAGAAAATTCTGAGAAAAAGCAGCTTAGCAAATTGTGAGTCGAAATTTTCCAGATTTCCTTTTTTTTGTTTCCCTGCTTTTTCTTTGCATTTCTCGCAGTGGCGATAATTTGATTTACCCACCGAAAAACAGACACCAAAATGGGGGAAATGTGAAGAAAACGAGGAAAAGGGGAATTTGAAGACTAAATTGGAAAAAATTTGTTGGTTTTGCAAAAAGCATCGAATTAAAGGGCAAAGCCTTTCCTTGAAGCCATCATTCTTGAAGCTTTTATTATCAAAATCAGATTCAAAGCTTTTTATATTATCAACCAGTAAACAAATTGAAAGAAAGAAAGAAAGAAATCGTATAATTTGTTGGTTTGGAGAGAAAATTTTCTCACTCAATGAAAAAAAGAAAAGAAAACGGCCGTTTTTCTCTCGGGCATACATCTGAATAATGGACAAGAAATGGAGAGAAAAGAAAAGAAAAGAAAAAAGGGAACAATAAAGGAGAAGAGAAGAAATTGGGGGAATTGCCACCTCAACTCGTTACTTACAAAGCTTTTTTTGCAATTTACATTGCAGATTTAACTAGGCTTGCAACGATAAGAAGATAAAATTTATTTGATATCGTACCCATATAAAGGAACTAATGGGTTAAAGTACGATATCGATCAAATTAGAGCCAAATAGAAATCACATCAAGATAAACTAAATAATTTCTTTTACTTGATCTTATTGAGGGAAAAGGTTTCTACTTAAAAGTGATTCATTTTGAAACGTGGCCTTTTTCATTTATATTTCCCAAGATTTCAAGTTCAAAATGAAAGTTTTCTTGTGTTTTCTATTTTGTCTGATAAATTTTGCTTACCTTTACAATCTTATTAGACTTGATAACAACCAAATTGTGATACAATTGTGATTTTCGCTACAATAAACCAAGTAAATTTTTTTCCCACGCAGTCCTCTCGAAATTTCCGACTTTTTATCGAAATTCTCGGCGAATAAATTTTCGATTATTCTTTGGGCATTATTCTTTTGTAAATGGGGTTTTTGGTTCCTATGGGTTATACCCCAGCGATAATTATTTGTAGCCAAAATAAGGGAAAAATGGCTCAAGATCAGCATAAATTAGAGATTTTGCTTGAAGATACAACAAATGACCCCACAAATCGTCACCATTTTGATC